GGAAGTAGCTGTTTTTCCATAAAGAAGTGATATATTATTTACTCCACCAAGAACCTCAGCTAGGCAATATTTGGTTAGTTTGAGTTACCTTAAGACAATTTATTATTATTATTATTATTATTATTATTATTATTATTATTATTGTCTCTCAATAGTTCAGACAGGCTTTCTCAGGACCACATTCAATCCACAGGGGCTGTGTGGTGTGATCTACAGCCAGGTGTGGTAGTGCCACTTCCCAGTCAGGCTCCCGAGTGGGGCTCCAAGGTGCCCACTGCAAAGACATACAGAAGCTGGTGGCAGCCCTGCTGGGGTGGGCTGGGGAGGCTTCACACGGAGAAATGGGACTTCGCCAGGGATACGAGCTGAGTAGAGACCTTCGAGACAGAGGGGACAGTAGATGCAAAAGCGTGTAGTATTAGTAGGTGAAACACCGTGGCGAGTTGGGAAAAGTGTAGGCAACACTTAAACGTATTTTTCCAGCACATGGATTTCTACTCTGGCCTCTATTCACCAACATTTATATCAAAACTAACAACCAGTCTCATCATGCGTGTCATTTTTTAAGGAGCACAAATGGGTGAACAGAAAGTCATACTTGTGCCTGCTCTGTAATCCTTAGGTTTAATCATCGTTTCTTTCTGGACCCAGGGCTCTGCACCCGTGCCTCAGGGCTCTGTAGCTTTTAATTAGTTACTAAATCAGCTGTCACCCACACCTTCTGCTCATTATCACAGTCCATAGCACACCCAGTGCAATGAACATTCCTGGAAACTCCTGGTAGGGAGGGGAGTCTCACGGGGAGGGTGGGCAAGTCTGGGGAAGGGAGGAATTTACACAAGGAACCTGGGCCTTGTCTCCTGGAGGACATTAGTGCTGGCTTACCTATAAAAGCCAGCTGCCCTTCTTTTTTTTGCTAACCTTTAGAGCAATCATGTTCACTATTTTAAAAAAAACAAAACATTTTATTATGGAAAATTTCAAACATATGCAAAAATAGAGAGACTATTAGAATGCACTCTTGTGAATCACTCAGCTTCAACAAGTATCAATGCATGGCTTGTCTGGACTCATTTCTGTCCCAACTGATTCCTAATATAAGCCCCCCTCCACCTAAACTGGATTATTCTTAAGCAAATCCCAAACATTTGATTTCATTCTAAATATTTTAGGATGCATCTCTAAAAAACGACTCTTTTTAAAAAACAAAACTGCAAAATCACAGTCACACCTAAAAAGAAATCGTTCCTTAATACCATCCAATGTCTAAATAGGTTTGTAAAATGTTCTATATATTTTGCTTTTCAGTTGATTGGTTTAAATCAAGATCCAGACAAAGACCACACATTGCATTTGGTAGATATATTTCTTTGGTCGTCTTAAATCTACAGGTTCCCCTCATCTCTCTTTTTGTTTTCTTGCAATGTGTTTATTAAAGAAACTGGATGTTTGCCCTGCAAGTGTCCTGTGTCCTGGATTTTGACTGCATCCCTATGGTATCATTTAACATGTTCTCTGTCCCCTGTATCTCCTGCAAACTGGTAGTTAGATCTAGAGACTTGCTCAGGTTCAAGTTATTGGTTCATATTTGCGCAAACTGTTTGTTGTGGTAATCAGTGTCACATGCCGGTGGAAAGAACGTCAGTCACACCTAGTGCTGTGATGGAGCCCTCGTGGCTCACACACCTTCAGGCACGATGTCTAGCACAATTTTGGTATGCAGGCCTTATCCTGCATGAAATTCCCTGCCCCATTTCCTGGTGGAAGTCAGGAAGGTAGGGAACCAACACGTGCCAGGTCAAGTGTAAGCTCTGCAGCTACCGCAGTGACCAAGACCGAGGTGGTCCTGGCCCTGGAGGTTGCACAGCCCAGTGGGGGCAGCAACCAGTGCCAGCAAGTAGGCAGTGAGTGAGATCATTACAAACTGTGGTCTGCTTCTGGAAGGAAGCAATTAGCGGATATAAATCGGGGTTCAGGGAGTGAGGGAGGGAGGGGCAAGTGGGAGGAGCCTACACTGGATGGTTGGAGGAGACTCTTCTAGAAGGTGTTACTGCAGCTGAGCCCTGAAGGATGAGACACAGCCAGTCTTGTCTTGAGAATGCGTGAGCGGGGAGGGGTGCTGATGGCAGTGAGGATGGAGGAAGTGCCATATACCCTAGGAGTAGGACACACATGACATGGGGTGAGAATGAGAAAGGAATCAAAGCTGACTCCCAAGTGTCCTGGCTTAAGCAACTGGGTGAATGGGGGTATGGCAACAGCCCTGGGCAGTGGGACAGGAGGCTGTGTGAGTTCCTCCAGGGTCCCCAGTCTAGTCCCCTTGGAGCCTGTAACCGGGTTTGGCCTCCTGACCAAATGTCTACCCTTTGTGTTCCCTGCCCTCCTATTCAATTGCTCGATGACACTTTAAAAAAATGGAGAGGGCCGGCCAAGTGGCGCGTTGGTTAAGAGCTGGCTTGGGACACCAGAGGGCCCCGATTCTGATCCCACATATGAGGGCCAGTGACACTGCCCTCTACAGCTAAGATGCTGAACAACAGCTCGACCTGGAGCTGGGCTGCCGTGAGTCACCGGC